CCCCAGCCTCCACGTGTTGTTGCCCCCCCCCCCCCCCAGCCTACAGCAAGTCGCGGGTGTTTCGGAGGGCGGGCAGGAAACACACGCGGCACTCTCCATCCCCTGCTCCACGTGAGTGGGAGCGGAAGACGAGAGCACTCCAACTTCAGCTGCCCTTGGTTACTGTACCAGAGCATGTTACTTATTATCCCTCTTAGTAAGTAGAGGACTACTGTCCAGAAAACTACCCTGCTCCTTTTTAAAGCTGTTTGCAATTTCCTGGTTTTTGTCATCACCACCTAGGAAGACTGCAATAAGTGCCATACTTGAACAAGGAGCAAGGAACTGTTCCTCCCATGTCTCTCCTTGGGGAAGCCTTTGCATTGCTTCAGGTCCTCTCTGCAAACCAGAAGAGTAAGCCTGGCAAGCATGCCCTACAAGAGGTGCTCCAGAGCACGACAACAGGACCAGCATAGCCTGAAGGTTTTAAAATGAGGTATTCCTTCTGAGACTGTTTCCATATCATTAACAACATAGGAAATCCTAAAAGATTAAGTTGTGTGTTCTGCTAAATGCAAACACGCGCGAGCTGCAGAGCCGTAGCTGTTAACATCGTGGTAATGATGCAGTCAGTGCCGGCAGATGCAGAGCACAGCTGCTCCTGCAAAACTAATTCTGGTACCCTGAAGACAAGGAGCCCACATAGGTGTAATTGCTGGTAAATCGAGTCCTTGTTGATAAAGTAGAAGCATATCATTGTGCCCAGCCAGGTTATAATGTTGTCTTTCATGAGGTGAATATTCAGCAGAATGATGGTCTATGTAAAGCAATATTCACGGTACGGAGCTCCCAAGACTAATGCTACCACCCAGTGCAGGCTGGAATCCATGGAGGCTCCTTCACGCTGAAGTAGTTTAAAATCCACGCAAAGCCAGGCCCAAACCCAGAACTGTGATTTCTCAGGCTACCGAGTACTTACAGACCTTATCTTCAAGAATGCAGAAAACTTTAAAATTTACCTGCCTTAGCCTTAAGCCATCAGCACTGACCAGCTCACGGACCGTGATAAAAATTGCCGTGAATGAAGAGGACAGAATTGGGCCGCAGCCCCCGCACACTCGTGTCGCCTGTTATTCTTGAGTACCCCAGTTATGCACCAGTATTGCAATTCGCAATCCTTCACAGTGCTGGCGTTAACTTTCTGTTTATCGTCAGCACAACGGTGGTTATCACCCAGCCTCAAGTAAGTAACTAGCTTAAGTATCAGGCCCTAGATAATCCATGAAGAACTGATCAGTAATAAACTTCTAAGGTGGCCCAGCCTTCACAGGAATCAGTATTAAGCATCTGCTCAGCTAACTTCGCCTCAGCACAGAATTCGCACGAACCCTGTCCGATGTTGTGCTCAGCTCCCCTACCCCACCTCCCTCTTCAAAACGCTCCATAAAACAACTCCATTTCCGACTGCCAAGTGGACTTAGGAGAGATTCAGACTCTCAGTATCTAATCCATGCTGTAGCGAGCACAACAGAGGCAGGCACGCTTGACAGACAAAAGCTTTTTGGTTTTTTCAAACCTCTTTGTAGTATTTTTTTTTCCACCACTACTTTTCAGATCTGTCGGTTTTGGGTCTGGCAGTCCCTGACTCGCTGAATTTCCACATATATTCTGACCTGATGTGTCTTTAACCTCAAGTGGACTGTCAAGCCAGATGCCAGATGCCCCCTTACTTCCTCAGTGCAAACTATCAGTAAACCTTAGCATAACTTCACTTTGAGCCTTAAACTAACAGCATGTGAAAAGATTAATACGAATAAACTCAAAACTAATCAGATCCCTTCTTTAAATGTTGACACAGTATTATTTATATCCCATAAATACCTTCTTGACTAAAATTCATCCCAGGAGATTGGCATCTTGCCAGTTCTATTCATATTTACTGTATTTATACAGTACAGTTGGCCAAGGATAATATTTAAGACAAAATATGCCTTAGGGTATATACAATATCTCTTATAGTTTTCCTTTTAAATCTCCTCATTGCTAAAAATATTTAGTCTGAACTTTACAAAATGCCCCACAAAGACCTATCAGCGATCTGTAGTGATATATTGCTGACTATGAGTATAATTAGAGCATATTTGTAATACTTGGGTTGTAGTCAGTTACCGAACGCTAACAACTTGCGCTAAAAACTGAACCACTGATCTTTCCCATGCCTTCCTTCCAGCAGCTTTTGACCTCCAGTGCGTTCACACTGATCCCCTTCTCCCCTCCTGCTTCCCTCCGATGCAGCAGAAACCGTAGAGTTAAAAAAATTCACTCCGACATGTCCAGGGGAACGCGCCCGCGGCCACCAGAGCTGCGCTTTCAATTTCTTCCTTTAAAATATGGTGGAGCGATTTCTTCCTTTCTGTCTTTTTTGGAAAGGTTCGCTCCATCCAGCATAACTAGAGAGCAGTGGAAAAACAGTTAACCTACTTACTCTGATGTTAGCGACAGCCCTCGCACAGTAGTACTGGATCCGCCGCTAACTGGCCCTCCGATCCCAAACGTCTGATGCACTCTGTTGGTAGGTACCTGCAATCTCCCTCGCTCCTCCAAAACCTCTATCGATACCTCAGCACACATCTGGCCTCCGACAACGTTTTAAAAATAAGAGTCTCACACCATCCAAGTCGCACACCACAGATACTTTAATTTTCTGGAAAGTGTGCGGCCGCGTTTTGGACCATTGGTTCTTTGTAGTTTGATCATGCAAGGAAAAAGGACAGCGGTGCTCGGGACGGGTGCCTTTCACAGTTCTCGGAGACTCTCTGTTACAGGGTCAACTCCACAAGCCAAGGCAGTGCTGTTGGTTGTCCTAACCTTTGCCCACAGGCGCTCACTCCTCTGCTCGGGGCATGACCCGATGGGTCTCAAAACACGAGTGCTGACTTCCACCAAAAACACCACCAAACCACTACAGTGCACCTTCCTGGAAAACAGGCACCATGTCTGTCTGCTCTCTGCTGCTCTGACTTACACAGAACCTCTCTGCTCGTACCCGCCTGGCTCCAAATAGACTTTTTTTTTTTTTTTTAGTAAGAAAAAAAGTACTTCTTCCCCGAGGGTAACAAGGGTGGAGTGTATTTATCATGGCTATTATGGAGGGTGCCATAATTAAAATAATAAAATGGCTCTGAGGGCCAGGATGTCCTGTACCTGATGCTGTCATTTAAGAAGGAAAGGAAGAAAGGGAGGCAGCTGCACTGAGCGCGGGGTTCAGATACCTTGGCTGGCATCCTGGGACTATCACATGCAAGACGCAGCAAGCCCCAAAGCTACAACTTGCTAAACTAAAAATAAATAAGGGGAAAACGCAATTAGAAACTCTAGGATAAAGTTACCAAGATGGCTGCATTATCTATTTAAGCAAGAGGTATGTGCTTCTCAAAAACAGACAGCAAGTACATCGGGCATCAAGTGGCGGGGGAGGGAAGAGAGAGAAAAGCGAGCTAAACGAAAAGAGTAGGGACGAGGTTTTGGATACGCGAACGGTGAAGTGATTTGCTGCTTCTGGTATTTCACTTTCCTCGGTATGATGATGATCTAGATTCTTTTAAGGGAGTCTGGTGCTTTTTCTTTCCTCTTTTTTTTTTTTTCCTCTATACACTTAAACTTCACTACCAAAACAAAAAGGCACATCGTTACAATTATTCATCACTCTAAGTGGATTTGGTCAGCACAGAGCATTTGTATCCCCATCCCCTCCCCCCTTTTTTTTTTCCGTACAAAACGTGGCGCGGATCACCAGAAGGTCGTTAAAACCAGCAAAACGCAGACGGGCTGAGACAGGTTCCAAGAACCGAGGCTACCCAGAAGGGAAAACTTTTCCTGTACCTGACATGAAAGCGCCCACGAACCGAAGCGGGAGGCTGGTGAAAGCGGGAGGAGGGGGGAGGATGTCTCA